AAGGAAAAGATCTATACCAGATATGAAACACTTACATGGAAGAGAAGAAGGTTGAAATCACAGGAGAGACATTAGCTTAAGCAAAAAGAGACTGTGCTGTTTCATTGACTGTTTCAACGATTTCCTACTACAACTGAAAAATGCATCCCAACGTCAAGTACACAAAAATGTCTGCATGTTTTATGTTTTTTATTAAGAGCTGAGTCACCTGATTTTGTAACCAAAGACCTAATTTCAAATTTTTAGCTCTACCACTTGGAAGTGGGACAACTTGAACAAAATACTTAATCATGAAAATTTGTCACAGCTTCCTCATCTATGAATAGAAATAATAGTATCTGCCCAAACAATTCCACAGGATTATTGTGAGGACAAAATAGCCATGCATGTTAAAGTTGTCAAGGACCTAGTAAATGTTATATGCTATTTCTTTTAGCCAGATTTCATAAACGTTGACTGACTCGGAAAATCAGCTTACTAGCCCAGCTTTCATCGCAATGAATTATAGCTGAAGCAGGAGTAGTTGAGAGGAATTTTTAAAAACTGGATAAAGGCCAGTGAACTTAGCAAGCATTCCACTTTGTCAAAAACACAGAAAAATTCTGCAGCAATAGAACATAATTTCAGACCTGAATCACAGAAAAAAGTTCTGAAGTTAACACGGGTTCATACATTAGAAACTCCCAAACAAGCAAATCATAGTCTGGGCATTGCTGCATTATCAAAATCTCAGAGGGATGTCTTGAGCTTTCTCACATGTCTCAAATCCATTTGCATAGACATGAGGTCTGGAAGAGAAGGGTTCCAAGATACCTGAGGTGAACCGTGGTACAAGAGGCATTATCTCCACAAAGGCCTTGGTTTAAACTTCCTTAAAGGAGAGCTACAGATGCAAAAGTTTGTGGGCTGTTCTCAAGGATGTGTTCCCTAAGCATTTTTCAGCATGTCTAATAAATTATCCAGATAAGGCAATATTATTATTGGCAAACAAATCAATAAAATGCTCAAAATAATCAGAGACTAGTTACAGCATGGCAGGCAAATAGCCAAAAGTAAATGTTTAGTGCTTAATTCAAAATCTCTACTCAATATATATATATATCCAAATTTTCTCCCATGATATTTTAAATAATTTTAATCTTAGTTGAGTAAGTAAAAGAAATAAAAATCTAACCATGGGCATAAGACTTTTTTGCAGGCAACTGAGCCTAATGAGAAATGGCCCTTTTATTTATGTCACTTAGTATCTATTTATTCATTGTTTTATTCATTCATTAGTTCATTCAACAATCACTTGTAAATACCTACCGAGTTGAGGTAGTAACTGTAAACTGCAATTTCATGAATTTTAGTAAAGAAAATAAGGGTGATTGAATGGTAGCTTGAAGAAGATTCTTTCAGGCCTAAGGGACAGAGTGGTAACATGGAGACATTGTAGACATGACAGAATTAATGTAACTTGCCTAGTGTCTCACAACATTTTCTCTCTTTTAGAAGACAAAAATTTTATACCCAGAGTATGTGTCTCATATCTGGTGGCAGGGGTACTGTGAAGACTGCTAGAAGGTGAGTTGTTGTAAAAGAGACACCTGTCAAAAAGTGACTCAGGGTGATGTATTAATCATTTTTACCTGGAGGGTAACCATGAGTACTGAGGTAACTATTAGGTACAAAGTATCTGTTAAGTGTCTAGCACGCAGTAGTTATCCATGAAGCTACCACATGGCCATAAGCAGGGAGAATACATGGGGTGGGACACATCGTTCCCTCATGCTACTCCCAAAACAAAACAGCATTAAATATTTAAAGTTTCTGGCTAAAGACCATTTCAAGACTTGTAAGAGCAAAGAAATAAAAAAAATATATCTGACCCTCAAATTGAATTATAAAATTGAAAATATAGACTGTCCAAGCATAAAAAAATACAAAGCAAAACTGAAATTCCAAGATTGAATTTAATACAATTGGAAAAATACAAAGATTTTTGAGTCCTTTCCAGAGCAGTCAGCATGAAGGGATTGAGAAAGCCATGGAATAATTAGCCTATTTGGAAATCATCAGTAGTTAATTGACATGACCACACTCACGAGAGCTTCTTAAGCCTGTCATTCTCCTAGGGGTAAAGAGTAGAGGAATTTCCACAAAACTACATCCAAAAGTGGATTATGGGGAAAGAAGAGCTCCCAGATTTAAAAAAAAAATCCAAATGTGAAGAACAGTAAAATTTTAACAAGTTTTGAGCTTCTTGGAAACTATGCCAAGTCCAGGCATTGCTAGGAATTGGGTAAGATTTAACTCCTCAGCTTTTTGTTCTAGATTTTTATGTTTCTTTTTCACTCTCAAGCACCAGGACTAGCCCAGGAGTTACCTGTGTTCTAACAAAATTTTAAAATTCAGGACCAAGTAAAACTTTGAAGCTTGCTGCTTAACCAAAACTTAATTGAAAATGCTTTGTTATTTGTGAAAGAAATTTAACAAAAAGCTGTTTTAAGTAACCAGTTTCCAATCCATGTCAACATCCCTGAAGTTATAACAAAATACTCAGAGCTTTTAGGTCAAAAGCTCTGGACTCAGACCAGGAGAAAATGGTGTTTGTCCAAACTCTATCTGCTCTTCCTTTACACGAAGGTCCAGGTCCTCTTGTTCATGAAGAGGTATAACCCCAGGCCTGTAGGCAACTTCTCTGTTCTAATTTCTTCAGGAAAATTAAGGTGCTGGACTAGATCCATGGTTTTTGAGCTTCACTCCACCGAATCCTCATTGTTCCATAGAAATTGAGAACTTTGTTAGAGGAAGGAGGATGGGGGACAAAGTGGGAGTGATGTAGGGAGGACTCCCAGGTCCCATTTTCCACTTCCATCAGAGCACTGCTTTCATCTGGTTTACAAATTGGTTTTCCCAAAGAGATTTTGTTTAAAGAACATAATAGTTTACAAATGTTGGAAAACTTCTCAACTGTAGGATAGATAAGCTCTTGCCAGACTGAAATTTTATGAGACTCTTCTAGAATATCTTAGGTAACTTCTTGCCCAGTCTCAGATGGTCACAATGCTGTTCTCTTGAGTTTCCAAGGCCCAGAGCTGGGGGCAACAACGTCACACTTGCCAGATTCCCCAAGAGTCAGGGTGTATCTGCCACCCCTTGACTTTGAAAACAGTCTGTGTTCAGCCACAGTTGCTAGTGTTCTTTGGTTACTGCCCCACCTTCTCTATCTGATGACCGTGAGGAGAGGATTTCATTTTTGTGAGAGCTCCTTCCAATTCCTCTTACCCTTTTGAACTTGAATATTATTCCACTTAGATAAGGAAGTTGTGGTTAAATGATTAGGGAGGAAATAAGCTCTTTCATACCAATCCAACATGTGTTGACACAACATATATGCATACGGTGTTGTTCTTAGAGTGGAGAGAAATCAATAAGGTAAGAAAAGTCTTGAAGTCCTGTGACAGCAAACCTGAAGCAGTGGGAAAAATGGAAAACGCTGTATGGAGCCAGTGGAAGAGGGTGGGCAAGTGTTTCTCAACTTTCTGTCTCATTTAAACACTTTCAAGGAAAGAGGATGAGACATGAGTAGAGGAAGCTACAGATTTAGACCAACTTTTCTCTCCAAGAGTAGAATGGATACCGTAGATATTTGATGTGGAACATGAATACATGAATATACATTTTTCATGTACTTATATACACATACATGTATTTAGATTAATGTGACACAAAACACTAAATTATGATTTTATAGACATGAAAACTTATAATGAGGCAAAACTTGTAAAGTAAATTCAAAGAAAAATACAAAAATAATGCTTGAGGTGGCACTAATATTGGCAAAGATTTGCAAAAATTATGGTGGAAGTAGGAGGATTGATAAAGGTCAGGAACCCAGGGCTGGACAAGCTCCAGAGTCACTCCGATCTCAGCACTTTTTGGTAAAACTAACCTGTGTGACTTTATACAGACATGTCAAAGTTATCTTCAGTTGTCCCATAAGATGTCTGTTTGCTAATTAACTCCCTCCCATAGTAACTGGTGCACAAAAGATACTAAATAAGGTCTTTTAACTGATGCACAGAAGATGGTAAATGAGATCTTTGAATGGATGAATGCATAAATACATGAATGGATATATACATGAAAGAATAAATAATTGCTGCTTAGCTTCAAGGAGCAAAGATGTGCTCACAACCAGGGAAAAAAGAATGATTAAAAATATGACCCCAGATTCACACTTGATCTTTTGCTGGCCCCTGCCTCACCTGGTATATTTTGACAGGTTTCAGAAAAGGATTCTATTTTTCCCATGATGCTGATGGGCAGGGTCTACACAGGGTAGGGAGTTATTTCATACCCCACCTATGGACTAGGGTCTTCTCAGCCAAGGTTCTTAGATCCTGAGCCTGAATAAAGATTAAAGAAAACCATGGTGCTACACAATTAGTGTACCAAGCAGCTTAGCAAACACAGAAGGGAACCCCAATGAACCCAGGAAAGCCACCCCAAAGTAAATGCCTGTGGAGCTAAATGAGCTTCAATTAGTATAGGTATTGAACAATCATAGAGCATATGGTGTCAGCAGTTCTGTCCTCTGACCTGGGAGCAAGGTGTGTGTACAACACGTAGCACTTTACAACCAGCAGAATCGAGTAACAAAAGCCTATTTTTAAAAATAGTTCATGGAGGACTCTGTGATCTGCATCCCATATAATAAGGCCTTTCTCAAATAGATAGAAATAAATCGGAGAAAACAACTGTTTACATGGTGGAGTGTGTTCTCTTCACGCACGTCCTGTTTGATATTAATCACGAGATTGCAACACAAAGCAAACCCAAATAATCTGTTTGGAGTCATCATTTCTGATTGCTCAAGCTATTCACTGCTAATCGAAAGGATGTTATGAAATGTGAGTCAGACCTCTTCCGGCTTTCTGGAAGTGCAAGGACTTTTTATATAAAGAGGGAACTTCCTAGTCAAGATATTGGAGTAAGAGGCAGGTGAGGAGCTATCAGATTTGTTTACCTAAGAAGGAAGACAGAGGCCAGTATGCACAGCCTTCCTCTGCTGTTGCTGCTGCTCTGGAGCACAGGGTCTCACAGCTTCCCAGTAGCAACTTCGGAAGAAACACAAGAGCAAGAATTGGAGACGGTCCAGGTAAATGCTGAATTTCAATGCCAGAAATGTAAAAGCCTTTATTTGCATTTTCCCACGGTATAACAGAGTAGTAGTAGTAGTAGTATAAAAAAGCTCGCTCTCCCCCAAAATGCATCTAGCCATGCAGACTCCTTTTTTCTAGTTGACTGTGGAAGGGAACTAAAGAAACAATATGCAAATTTGACTCTACAAATTGTAATTCTGACTTCATAGTAACTAACAGTAGGGAGATTTCTCCTCTGAAATTGCAGTTTTCACCAATAATAAAGATAATAAGAACCATGAAATCTAAACACAATCTTTACAAGTAGTTCTCTGTTTTAGTTAAAACTTCATACTATCAATCTTTAGAAAAAAGAAAGATTTCCTATCCAGTGTCTCAGTAATTTTATCTTTCGCCAGAAATACCTGGAAAACTACTACAACCTGAAGAGTGATTGGAATCCAATTGAAAGGCAGAGAAAGAGTGGCCTAGTGGTTGAAAAACTGAAGCAGATGCAGGAATTCTTTGGGCTGAAAGTGACTGGGAAGCCAGATGCCAAAACCCTGAATGTGATGAAGCAGGCCAGATGCGGGGTGCCTGATGTGGCTCAGTTTGTCCTCACTGAGGGGAACCCTCGGTGGGAGCGTACACACCTAACCTACAGGTAACCAGACTGAGCACCAGAATGAGAACACTATTTCCCATTAGAGCTGTAGAAAATGAGGTCTTATCTGTCTCTATTTTATTTCATTTTTAAGGATTGAAAATTACACACCAGATTTGCCAAGAGCAGATGTGAACTATGCCATTGAGAAAGCCTTTCAACTCTGGAGTAATGTCTCACCCCTGACCTTCACCCAGGTCTTTGAGGGTCAAGCAGACATAATGATATCCTTTGTCAGGGGAGGTAAGCTATTCTTGCAGCATGAAAGTATTCTCACCTTAACTTTACCTGGCTCCCTAATCTCTTCAGCTTTGCAGCTAGAATTTCTTGTTTAAGAGGAATATTAATTTTGTGAGCTTAAGGAGAGAAACTATAACACATTTGATTGAAGCCTTTTGACTTCTTAGCAAAGCAAATGCTTGCCCTTCTGTGTTAGCCTAAATAAGACCCAAGGGGGACATTTGTTGAATTCTGTTTTGTTTTGTTTTTTTCTGCAGATCATCGTGACAATTCTCCCTTTGATGGACCTGGAGGAAACCTTGCTCATGCTTTTCAACCAGGCCCAGGTATCGGAGGGGATGTCCATTTTGATGAAGATGAATGGTGGACTAACAATTTCAGAAGTAAGTCAACTAGTCTTGCCTTTCTCAGTTCCCCTACCCCTTCATAGTTCATTGCAATAATTGGTTGATTTAACTAAAAGAATGCATCAATGGAACTACTACCACTTAGAAAATTCATACTACATTTATAAAATTGTAAGAAAAAGATATTTTTGACATATTAGTAACAGCATCTTATTGGCTACAAATAGGTCACTCTAAAATTTCTATTAAGAAAATATTAAAAATCCTAATGTATTATTTGTGGGCATCTACATGGAATTTTTTTTTTTTTTACTAGAAGGACGCACCATAATTTAATAGTGGTAGTAAGATCATGTGGCAATTAAGGGAGGAGAGGTTATATGTGTTTTCCAAAATTTCCGGCATTAATTAAGCATGTGTCAGTTTTGTAAATAGGAAAAAAGTTTGTGTTAATAGAATTCTATTGCCTCTCTGTGAAATAATATGTGTCATCTAATCATTGTCAAGATTATTGAATCTGTGCTAGACTCAGTCTACTGAGTTTGTCTTTTAATCATATCAGTGTAATCATAGAGTCTAGGCTTTAACCTATCTCTTCACTATTCATAAATGCACCCTTCTCATCTTAGGAAAAAAGTTTTATATATATATATTTTTAAAAGATATGAAGAAAATATGAGCATTAGTCCTTATAGAGTTGTAGATTACTACTTAATTAAATATCTCAAAACTGAAAACATTTCAAGCAATTGCAAATAAGTTTATCTGCCCTTTTAGATTACAATTTGTATCGTGTTGCTGCTCATGAATTGGGCCATTCCCTCGGACTCTCTCATTCTGCTGATATTGGAGCTTTGATGTACCCCAACTACATATTCACTGGTGACGTTCAGCTCTCGCAGGATGACATCGATGGTATCCACACCATATATGGTAAGTATAAAGAAAAACATCATAGACAAAGGTTCCATTCAAACATCCATTAGTTGTATCTTTTAAGAAGCTGTTTTTCATTGTTTATGTAGTCTTCCAATACCAGGCAGCACTAACTCCAGATCTTTTTTCTTTAGGACCTTCCAAAAATCCCATCCAGCCAATAGGCCCAAAAACCCCACAAGTGTGCGACAGTAAGCTAACCTTTGATGCTATAACTACAATTCGGGGAGAAGTGATGTTCTTCAAAGACAAGTAAGATGCCAGGCCTCCTTATTTTGTATTTGTAATAACAACACTCACTGCTATGGATCCCTGTGGGCCACTACTATGCTTCCACATTATTTATCTTAAATTTATTTACATACGTGATTATATAACAATAGCGCTTGCTTTCATTTGCATAACCTAATGAACTTATAACAGCTTCATTTTCCCAAAAGTATTCTGCCATTTGATTCTCAGAAAAAAATACCATTGAAGCAGAAGACCTGTAAATATAATCCCATTTCACGGATCAGTAAATTAAGGCAGAGAAAAGGAAGGAGACCCTTTGAGAGCATAGAGAACATTGGTGACAGAGCAATAATTGGTCTTCTGACCCCTACTCCAGGGCTCTTTTCATTGACTGAACTCTTTATGATGATCAGTATATTATTACTTTATTAAGAGAAATCAGTCTTTTTCATGGCGCCACCATGCTGATCCCCTTTATGTATCACCCCTTTTATCCTGGAAGAGAAGGCCCTCCCAAAGCCTGTGACAATGATAGAACTCTGTCACCCCCAGAGACCTAGAGAAGGGTAGGAGCCATTGTGAGGGAAAACCCATGAGTTCATGAAGCCCCTCTCTTGGGCAGATGTGAGCAATCACAATGTGCTTCCCTCCTTAGAGGAGGAGCCTAGATCTTCCTTTGCACCGTGTGGCCACAAAAAAGGCTAGGATCCCCTCACACTGGAGGAAGAGGCCTGTCATGCACACCATACTGATTCCTAAAGGACCAGAGAAAATAATTACATAGTCTTTTTCTGAATGATGCAGTCCAAAGCACATAGAAAGTAGGGGTGCTCAGAAAGGCTTGCTTCTCCTCAGCCTCTCTTTTTGAAGTGTTGTCCATGCTGTTTCAACACTTTGTGATCATATCTACCCCAGAATGCAGAGTACTGGCTGCTAATGCTTTTCATCCTTCTCTTAATGATTTTTGAGTATAGACGATAAAGCTGAATGAATGTAAACCATCCAGGGTATGGTTCCATGTTGGAGAGTGCTAAGGAACTACATGATCTTTAAGGAAAGCTCCCAATATAGCAGCACAGACATATCCAAACAAATATTTGAGGGATAACTCCAAGGAACAGGACCAAGTCTAGAATTTTCAGGAATTGAAAGGACACAGATCATTTAACATCACCAAGTCATGGAGACATGAAAAGCTAGAAACAGTAACAGTAGCTGACTTACCTAAGGTCTCAGTCAGGCAGAGCAGGACTGGATCTAGAAATCACATCTTCACTGTGTCCTAGAATCTGGAAACTCTTCTATCAGCCCACATGCTGTTTCCGCAGTCCCTATTGGTCTATAGAATCAACTTTGTTAACCACCAACCAAAGCAAGACAAAAGGAGTGGCTGCCAGATCTGAATTTAAAATTAACCTTTGCCTCTTATCAACCGTGTGGCCTTAGACCTTCAGCATCCTTGACCTTCATTTCTCATCTGTAAAATGAGATTAATATTCTCTTGCAGGGTTTTCATGGGGTAGGGTGTGACATAAGTAAAAGGCCTGTGTGTTGGAAGTGTTCTCTAATGAATGTAGGATATTAGTTTTATATTCCAGCCAGTGGGGTGCTGCAGGGGGATCCTAATGGTTTGCCAAAGCCAATTTTTAAATTTTGAGCATTTTGCAAGCTGGTTGTTAAACACAGCCATTGTTAAAAGTTAAATTATATCAATTTACAATTATATTTAAACCAAAGGTAATAAAATAATCAAAACTCACTCCTTTGTAATTACTTTGCTACATTTTAGTAGTCATTTATGTTCTTGAGGTTGTTATGCCTAGTGTATTTGTGTGGTAGAAGTCCTACACATGGTGCACTACCGCAAATCTCTTGAAATCTGCTGTGGTGGAAGGATTTCCACTGTGGAAATGAGCACATGCTACAAACCAGCACTCCTCCCCGACCTCCGCATTGGAGAGCCAGAGGGCGAACATTTATCAGCACACCACCAGTGCCAGTAATAAGAAGGATGTTACCCAGAGCTTGCTATAGATTAGATCAAAACCTTTTTTCTTTTTCCAAACCAGGTTCTACATGCGCATAAATTCTTTCTACCCAGAAGCTGAGCTCAATTTCATTACTGTTTTTTGGCCAAATCTGCCGGGTGGACTTCAAGCTGCTTATGAGGTTGCTGATAGAGATGAGGTCCGGTTTTTCAAAGGTAATGCTTCCAATTATTTTTCGGTTTTTATGAATTAATTTTTTATTGGCTGAGATATAAGAGAGTACTAGCTCTCTCCATGGAATTTAACAAATCTAAGTCTCAACAAATCATTGGGAATCCATCATCATTTTTGCAAAGTATATTTCTGAGTCATTTTAAATAAAAAGCTTATGACTGGAGATAGAAATTTTTTGGCCTGTTTATAAAGCTAGACTTAGGAAAGTGTTTTCTATGAAAACTATTTATGCATTTTAAACAGTCTCTACATCCCCGGGGATACTGAGAAATAAAATTAAGACAATTGGATCAGTACTGTAGAGGGGATGGAACAGGAACATTTAAATTGTGCTATTTCCTAGAGCTATATTAATACAAATGACTCCCCTCTGAGAGGTGGAGGTCCCCACTGGTCAGCCAGATGGGGATGCTGCAGGCTTGCTCTCAAAGTGTGGTCCTCAGATCAGCAATGTTGACATCAAGTGAGAAGTTTGTTAGATATAGAGAATCTCACTTAACTTAATGCTCTTAAATTCCATCCATGTTGTCAGGTCCCATTCCAGACCTTGAATTTTAACAAGATTCCCAGGCAATTAATATGTACATTAAAGTATGAGAAATCCTGAATTACCATGAATTGACTATCACTAAGGTAGCATCATGAATTCTTTAGTCACTTGAACATTTGGCTTTGGAAAGAAGCCCCCAACCCCATAAACCATTCATCCTCAAAGCTGCTGCAGATTAGAATCACCAGGAAACTTTTAAAATATATACTGATTTAATTGGTCTGGGGTAGGATTCCAGCATCAGCATTTAAAAAAAAAATCTCCCTAAATCATTCTAACGTGCAGCCAGGACACTGCTGCAGCATGTGAGACTAAGAACTTAGCTGGAAATCTACTCACTGTCTACTAATGCCCTGAACAAATATTTTCATCACTGTTTCTTGATTGGCAGGTCATAAGTACTGGGCTGTTCAGGGACAGGAAGTGCTACCTGGATACCCCAAGGACATTTACAGATCCTTTGGCTTCCCTGCAACTGTGAAGAATATTGATGCTGCTGTTTTTGAAGAACATACTGGGAAAACGTACTTCTTTGTTGCTAACAAGTACTGGAGGTAAAGATTGAGTGCAGAAAAGGTTAGGGCACCAGTTCTCTCTACATAGAAAGAAAGTTCTAGATTGAACCATTTAAAAATGAGTCTCATGTTTCCTTGCCTTCGTTATCATTGTGGGCGATTTGAACAGTGGGGATGGGGCCTAACAGCACAGAAGTGTAATTAGCATTTTATCTCGGTTCTTCCTCATTGATGTAGTGAAGAATCACAGGTCAGTGAGATTTAGAAAAGATTTATTAAAAGTATATTTTAGAAAGACAAGGCATGCTCCAAGGAGACACATGGTTTTAGCAAAGAGAGCTGTAACAATCCCGAAGTGGGAATCTCTGCCTTATATTTTGGCCATGATGGGTGGTCCCAAAAGCATTCTTAGGTGATTGGCAAGTGAGGTCATTTTGATTGACACTTGGCTACTATATAACACTTTGCCTAGTGCACATGTGCTTACCCAGAATTCAGTTTGTTATAATTAGATTCATGAACTTCTAGGCATTAACATAGTATTATAATGACAATATAATGAGCATTAGATTGTGGGCAAATTAGGATAGAACATTCTGCGCAGGTGTCTGTGGCCAGATTAAACCAGCTAAGATTATGGCCATCCTGTCCTTTGTCTCTGGGGATGCAGAAAAGATTCTCTAACTACTAATAGGGTGTTCTTTGAGTAGTCTCTAGGCTGAGCCCCTATTCCTTTGTACCCCTTTTGCTCATGTCTGACTAGCTACCTAACACCTTTTCTATGAATGGCTGTAGCCAGTTCAGCATCCGCTTCTCTTGATCAGTAATCATCATGCAACATCTCAGGAATCCAGGGAGCATTTCGGGCTGAATTTGAAAAAGAAGAAGAGGGCATTCATCTTCATAGAGCTACTTCAGCCAACAGGAACTTATGTTTAGTCATGTTTTACCTTAATAGGACATCATACGGCACCAACTAGAGAATTATAATTAGATGCTGGAGTTCAGAGGGACCTTATAAATCTAATTCACCCAACATCCTACCTCACCTCATCCCACCCTTCATTTTACGAGTGATCTATGAAATTAAAAGTTCTTACTATGTTTCCGTTGTGAATTCCCTATAATGATTTTGAGAAAGCTACATGTTTAACAAATGGTTCTGACATTTTTTATTATTTTTTGACCAGATATGATGAATATAAACGATCCATGGATGCAGGTTATCCCAAAATGATAGCAGCTGACTTTCCTGGAATTGGCAACAAAGTCGATGCTGTTTTCCAGAAAGATGGTAAGTGAATATATATGTATTTCTTCTATTTCTTTGTCATAGAATAGCATCAGTATTGTTATTTGCAACAGGAAATGCCAAAAATATTTATTCTCACAAATTAGTTGGGTTTTTCAAGAATTGAAGTTAAACCTAGAAATATTTGTATAATGGAGTAAGTCTCTTTTGTTTTATTTCTAGGATTTTTCTATTTCTTCCATGGAACAAGACAATACAAATTTGATCCTAAAACGAAGAGAATTCTGACTCTCCAGAAAGCTAATAGCTGGTTCAACTGCAGACAAAAGTGATCAACTGTTTCTGTTCAAAAGTTAAACAGAAAAATATATTTCAACAGCCCAAAGAAGGCATTTTCTTAAAGAGCCTTATTTTTAAATAAAATACAGAACTATTAAGTATTATCTTACTTACCCCTATTCTGCATATTTTTTATAATTTAGAATGTAACATTTTATGTACTATTATAACTTGGTTTCACAAATGAGGGCTAAGGAAGGTCAAGTTCATGGCTTATTGATTCATATGGGCCAGTTTTTCAAAGAGAGAAGCTCTTTTCCAAAGTATAAGACTCTGACATTGATCCTGGAGAGCAGCCCCTGTGATGGACATGTCCTCTCAAGAGAGAAAAAGACAAGCCTTCACCAGAAGAAAATCCATTCAAGAACATATGAACAGACACAAGTTAGCATCATCCCAAAATGCAACGAACAACTTTTGTTATAGAAAATAAAGTGTTTATGTTTGGAATAAAGCCATTTGTTTCCCAACTATTTTATAAATTTTCTAATATATTTAAGTTTTGATATTGTTATTTCCTGATTATAAAGCCACACTTACAGGGATTAATTTTCAAATTTGAAATGGAAAGTAAGCAATTACACAAAATATTCATGTGAGAAATTAAGAAACACAAAAAGTTCAAATATTCTCTATTCTTGTGGAATTTACATCATATAGAAGTGGAAAAAGTCTATTTCCCACATCCAATATAAGAATTCTAAAATTGATTTTAGGTAAAAGCAGTGACAGCATGGTAGAGTTTTCTGAGGTTACATTTTTTTCTCTTTTTCTGGGCACATGAGAGGGTTATATTCTCTCATAGTCCAACTCCCTTAAGTTGCGGGCATCTGGCAGAGAGTAGGAGGAGTGTGATGGTCAGGGGCATCTGACTAGTCCTGGCCAGTGGATTGTACTCAGTAGTGACCAATATCATTTACAGATGAAAACATTTGATTGCTGGTACAATTTCTCTAGCACCGCTCTGCAGTGCTGATTGTAGAAGCACATCTTGAGAGAGTGTCCACAATATCAAATAAGTCTGAATCGCTGGGCCACCACTCCAATTACCCAAAACTTCAATAGATTTTTGTTTAACAATAAACTTTTATTGTGCTAAACCACAAAGATTTTATTTATTATTTATTTTTTTCCACAAAGATTTTAGATTTTGTTGCATAATCTACGTTTTCTAGATAAGCACTATCCAGTCTATCGTGCCTAATTTGGGAGGATATTAATATAGGTAGAAGACTTGCAGGTAGCTTCCAAGCCCCATGAATGTTATGAGCAGTTCAGAGAGTGCTCCTCATGGTGTTTGCAGACTTTCTAAGTCGAGAGTCAAGACTGTTTTGAAGTACTCATGATTCTGAGGCAGGCAGTTTTCAAATCAAGAGTTTGGAGAGCAGTGTTACCTCTCCTTTGGCCAACTCTCTCTCTCTCTCTCTCTCTCTCTCTCTCTCTCTCTCTCTCTCTCTCTCTCTCTCATAAGTATTTTTATAATGAAGTATAACATAAATGCAGAAAAATACACATATTGTAAATGTTCATATCAATGAGTTATTATAAAGTTAACAACCCCAGGTAACTCTCACCCAGCTCGAGAAATAGATCGTCACCAGTACCAAAGCAGGCTCCATTCAGTCCCTGTCATCAATGCTCACTTTTGTCTTAGCTTAGTTCACTAGAATCAGAGCCTGAAACAGAAATTCTTCCATGTGGTCATTGGAGGAGGAGTGCTTCCAGGGGAAGAGGAGTAGAGGAACCATTTTAGAGCAGGAAAAAGCTAAAGAATGCTAAAGAAATAGGTCTAAGACAGAGTTTGCTCTGATGTCATAAACAGGGAGCTCTGGAGCAAAAATTGAATCACAGTTTGTTTGTTTTGAGAGGAGGTGCCTAGCCTTTTGTACCCCTGTGTCAATTAGTCATCAGTTGAGGTCTGGTTTTGAGGAAAGGGGCATACCTCCCAGGCAAGATGACTCTCGGCGTCCACAAGATGTATTTCCCAAAGGTAACCACTAAGTTCTAACATCTTAGATTAAATTTGCCTACTTTTGAACTAAATTGAATCAAGTATATATTCTCTTGGGTCTGCTTTATTATATTTGACATTATGCTTCTGCACTTCATTCACTTGTGATGGGCTTTGGGTTGTTACCATTTTAAGGCTTTTATAAATAATGCTGCACATATATAGGCATTTCTGTTGATTACTAACCTAAAAGTGCAATTACTGAGTTATAGAGATTATGACATTTCTTCAGAGTCTTCCTCAGTCTCATCTATCTTTTAGTCCAGCCAGAACAGTGGTGACTAGTTCTGTGCAGATTCTAAACCAGCATCTAAACTGACAGCTGTTCTCATTGGGGCTGTGTGGTAAGTTCCTTGCTTCCTGCTCTAGGATTTTCTGCCTTTTCTGTTGATGCAGCATCAAGCTCTGCTGTGGGACTCACTCAGAACAAATGCACATACAACCCAGAACTGACAAGAATAATCATTTGTGGAGCAAATATATTACCAATGTGAGAGAAATGAGTGAACAAATGCATCTCCCTTTCTTTCTTCAGAAGGAGTCCCTAAGATGCATTTCAAGTGGGTCCTCGGTCCCATACTGAGCATATTTCTCATATCTCTATCCAGTTGACATTCATGTTTATATTGTCTCTCCTACTCTTCCTGCTTTGCTCTTCATGGTCTTCAATCCAGCCCTCTGGATCACATGCCTCAATATGTACTTATGCTTAAACTTTTGTCTTGGCTTTGTTTTCTAGGAATACCAGATTGTTTATTTGTGCCGGAAGTGGGATAACCTTTGGTCTGTAGTGACATCACAGTTACTAAGAATCTCACCTGTGGTTGATCATGAAGAGATAAAGGTGAATAGTGAGGTATTGGGTAATGGGTGGCTGTGACATTTCAATAGTATGAGAGGAAAGGTAATTACAAGTAAGGAGATGGCTGGTTAACTACACTATGAATTTGATAGAAGAAAGTAATAGACTCAGGGGAGCCAAATATCAACTCAAGACACAACACTGTGAAAGCCAACAGACATTAATAGTAACATTTAAGGAAATACTGTATCTAATGTAGAATGTGCTGAAAATCAGTCACAGATCTAATTGCAAAGTTGAACACATTCTAGCTGAAATAATGTGTGGATAAACCTGAAAATCTTGAACACCTAAATTTCCTTGAAAGCTCTCTATAGGTAGAAGTAGTATCTCCTTTTTGCCAGAGGAATGCAACCTCTCCTCTCACAGAGAATCAACAAAGACCTTTTCTGGGTCAATACCTCACAAGGTAATGCTTGTCCTCTTCCCAAATTGTTTCCCTCACTCCTCATTGTTCTCAGGCAAATAACTAAGATCAAGTCTCAGCACAGTTCAAATTCTAGGAAATTAACAGGAAATCACAAACCAAAGGAATTAGAGGATCTGGCCCTTAAGCATCATCGGAAATCAGGGGAGCATGTGTAGGAGTGTATCTTAAAGTCATTGCACTAGGCAGGGGGAATTTAAGGCTGGACAGGGAAGAATTTATTAACCTGTTGCACTCATTCATGAGCGTCAATATTCTGGCAAGCAAACCAAGAGTTTGTCTGATATTCTGCTGACATGGATTCTCAGATCTTAGGCACAACGATGTCTTATGGTACGGGATTGAGACGCCAAACTTCTGTGGCATGATAGTAAGGAAGGAGTTAGAGGGCATAGGAAGATGGAAACCATAGAATGGATTTATTACTTGAGATTAGAGAACCCATCACTGGACTTTCTCCCTGGGGAGGCCCAGAAAGCACTTCCTTCACTGAGCCTATAAGGAAAACACTAGTGAGGGGACACACTGATATCTCAGAGATACATAATGGTGGTTGTTCTCTGTGGGGGTGACAGAAAGAGGTGTTGCTTGAAATGGGGCTCTCTAGTGTCATTAGGTATGATGGAATTTCAGAATGGTGAAGGGCAGGTGGCAGCCCTTAACCATCAGAGGAAAAGGGAATGAAAGCAACTCTAATGGATAGAGAGGCTTGAATGGCTAGCAGATGGCCTTGATCTGTACTATTCATAGGTCATGTGTTTCTAGTGATGAGTAGATGAATGGTCAATTAAGGTACAACTAAACTTATATTTTAAGAAATGGAGAACTGACAAGCAGGAAGCTGATAACAGCTACTGAAATAGAAAAATCTTTATTTCTCACTTCATTGTCAGATCTAAAATGATTCACAGACTCAAAGACCATTTCTTGAAGAGGAGGCTGGGTCTCTTTGAAGAAGGATAGATATAGATAAATAAATGGATGATAGATAGATAGATGATAGATAGAGAGAAGATAGATAATACACACACACACACGCATGCACGCGCGCGCGCGCACACACACACACACACACAAACACACACACACAAGATCCTTCTTCAAGGGACTGTATTAGTTTTCCAGGGCTGCTATAGCAAACATCACAGCCTGGGTGGCTTAAACAGCAGAAATTTATTTTCTCATAGTTTTGGAAGCTGAAAGTCCAATATCAAGGTGTTAACAAGATTGGTTTTATCTTAAGCTTCTCTCCTTGGCCTGTAGAGGGCTATCTTCTCCCTGTGTCTTCGCTTGGCCTTCTCTCTATATATGTTGCTGTCCTAATCCCCTCTTCTTATAAGGCCACCAGTTATTTTGCATTATGGCCACTCTAATAACTTCATTTTAACTTAATTGCCTCTTTAAAGGCCCTACTTCCAAAAATAGTCCTATTTCGAGATACTAGGGGTTAGGACTTCAACATACAAATTTTGGAGGAGACACAATTCAGCCCCATAACAGAGATTTAGCTATGTTCTGGGAAAAGAAGAGTATACAGGTTTTTCAAGGACAGATTGATACTAGATCTGAACTGACACCAGAAGAGGTCTTGAAATGGCATCTTGTTCTTCTAGTTTAGAAAGGCAGCTTATGAAGTTAAGTGATAAATAAATTTCTGACTCAAGGTCACCTCACAGTGGGTCCAATGGGTCCA